TAATCCACTGAGTCCTCAGTAGTGTTTTAATAATCCACTGAGTCATCAGTAGTGTTTTAATAATCCACTGAGTCATCAGTAGTGTTTTAATAATCCACTGAGTCATCAGTAGTGTTTTAATAATCCACTGAGTCCTCAGTGTTTTAATAATCCACTGAGTCATCAGTGTTTTAATAATCCACTGAGTCCTCAGTGTTTTAATAATCCACTGAGTCCTCAGTGTTTTAATAATCCACTGAGTCCTCAGTGTTTTAATAATCCACTGAGTCATCAGTGTTTTAATAATCCACTGAGTCATCAGTGTTTTAATAATCCACTGAGTCCTCAGTAGTGTTTTAATAATCCACTGAGTCATCAGTAGTGTTTTAATAATCCACTGAGTCATCAGTAGTGTTTTAATAATCCACTGAGTCATCAGTGTTTTAATAATCCACTGAGTCCTCAGTAGTGTTTTAATAATCCACTGAGTCCTCAGTGTTTTAATAATCCACTGAGTCATCAGTGTTTTAATAATCCACTGAGTCCTCAGTGTTTTAATAATCCACTGAGTCCTCAGCTGTGTTTTAATAATCCACTGAGTCATCAGTGTTTTAATAATCCACTGAGTCCTCAGTAGTGTTTTAATAATCCACTGAGTCCTCATCAGTGTTTTAATAATCCACTGAGTCCTCATCAGTGTTTTAATAATCCACTGAGTCCACAGTGTTTTAATAATCCACTGAGTCCTCAGCAGTGTTTTAATAATCCACTGAGTCATCAGTAGTGTTTTAATAATCCACTGAGTCCTCATCAGTGTTTTAATAATCCACTGAGTCCTCAGTGTTTTAATAATCCACTGAGTCCTCAGTGTTTTAATAATCCACTGAGTCATCAGTGTTTTAATAATCCACTGAGTCCTCAGTAGTGTTTTAATAATCCACTGAGTCATCAGTGTTTTAATAATCCACTGAGTCCTCAGTGTTTTAATAATCCACTGAGTCATCAGTGTTTTAATAATCCACTGAGTCCTCAGTGTTTTAATAATCCACTGAGTCATCAGTGTTTTAATAATCCACTGAGTCCTCAGTGTTTTAATAATCCACTGAGTCATCAGTGTTTTAATAATCCACTGAGTCCTCAGTGTGTTTTAATAATCCACTGAGTCCTCAGTGTTTTAATAATCCACTGAGTCCTCAGTGTTTTAATAATCCACTGAGTCCTCAGTGTTTTAATAATCCACTGAGTCCTCAGTGTTTTAATAATCCACTGAGTCCTCAGTGTTTTAATAATCCACTGAGTCCTCAGTGTTTTAATAATCCACTGAGTCCTCAGTGTTTTAATAATCCACTGAGTCCTCAGTAGTGTTTTAATAATCCACTGAGTCCTCAGTGTGTTTTAATAATCCACTGAGTCCTCAGTGTTTTAATAATCCACTGAGTCATCAGTGTTTTAATAATCCACTGAGTCATCAGTGTTTTAATAATCCACTGAGTCCTCAGCAGTGTTTTAATAATCCACTGAGTCCTCAGCAGTGTTTTAATAATCCACTGAGTCCTCAGCAGTGTTTTAATAATCCACTGAGTCCTCAGCAGTGTTTTAATAATCCACTGAGTCCTCAGTAGTGTTTTAATAATCCACTGAGTCCTCAGTAGTGTTTTAATAATCCACTGAGTCCTCAGTAGTGTTTTAATAATCCACTGAGTCCTCAGTAGTGTTTTAATAATCCACTGAGTCCTCAGTAGTGTTTTAATAATCCACTGAGTCCTCAGTGTTTTAATAATCCACTGAGTCCTCAGTGTTTTAATAATCCACTGAGTCCTCAGTGTTTTAATAATCCACTGAGTCCTCAGTGTTTTAATAATCCACTGAGTCCTCAGTGTTTTAATAATCCACTGAGTCATCAGTGTTTTAATAATCCACTGAGTCATCAGTGTTTTAATAATCCACTGAGTCATCAGTGTTTTAATAATCCACTGAGTCATCAGTGTTTTAATAATCCACTGAGTCATCAGTGTTTTAATAATCCACTGAGTCCTCAGTAGTGTTTTAATAATCCACTGAGTCCTCAGTGTTTTAATAATCCACTGAGTCCTCAGTGTTTTAATAATCCACTGAGTCATCAGTGTTTTAATAATCCACTGAGTCATCAGTGTTTTAATAATCCACTGAGTCATCAGCAGTGTTTTAATAATCCACTGAGTCCTCAGTGTTTTAATAATCCACTGAGTCATCAGTGTTTTAATAATCCACTGAGTCATCAGTGTTTTAATAATCCACTGAGTCATCAGTGTTTTAATAATCCACTGAGTCATCAGCAGTGTTTTAATAATCCACTGAGTCATCAGCAGTGTTTTAATAATCCACTGAGTCATCAGCAGTGTTTTAATAATCCACTGAGTCCTCAGTAGTGTTTTAATAATCCACTGAGTCATCAGTAGTGTTTTAATAATCCACTGAGTCCTCAGTAGTGTTTTAATAATCCACTGAGTCCTCAGCAGTGTTTTAATAATCCACTGAGTCC